TCATAACCCGACTCATAATTTCTTGGATGGTATTTGGTATGTAGTCCACTTATTAATTACCTAATATGCTCTTGGGCTTAATCACTACTTAACCTAAAAGTCCACCTATTCTTTTATATATGTTGACCCCGTTGCTTTTGTGTTGGCTGTGTGTGAAAAACGCTATTGCTAGTGAGAGTTATTTGATGCGTCTCTGCTTTGTGCTTCCTTTGCAGTGTCATTGTCTCTCTATTCTTTCAGCCTGTGTGGCTATTGTGTGGCTATAGTAACCATCACTCGTGTCCTTAGTGGGTAACCAGTTGAGTGTGGTTTATGGTTTTTGGTCTTGTGACATTGTGGTGTTGATTTCGGTATATACATATGATATACTGAGCTCGGAATTCCTTTAATGATCAATTTTGATTCTACAATGTTTAATCCAATGTATAGTGCCTTCTAGAAGGAAAAGAAATTTCTTAGATGAGGGACATATTGCATTTGTGTTCCCAGAATATGATCAAAGATGTTTATTGTTATGTTAATTATGCCCAAAATCTCTGCAGCCAATTGTTGGTAATTCAAGGATCATGTATCACTCGATACCACTTGACATAAAACAAACCACGTGATTGAAATATTGAAATTATATGACACAATAATAAAATATTTGATCAGGCAAATGAATAATGAAGACAAGAAATATGGTAGAGGAATTATGATCAATAATAAAATATTTGATCACAAGTAAAAGAATAAAAGAAAACGAGAAACTATGACAGAAAAATTAGGAGATTTTATTGCATCGCCAATAAGGAGAAATATACAATTGATCCTAAAATTCTAGTAATCTCTTTTCTCACATTATGAAATTGTATAAAATAGTCTAATATTTATAGGCGATATCCAAACCCTTCTAGTAGAGTTGTTGAGGAAGTAGGATGCCAAAAAATCGAGTTCAAAACGTAAAATGAGATAAAAAGACGAAAAATAGGAACATGTACATGTGGTGTCGGGCATTTTGCCCAATTTTTTTTTTCCAGTCTATTTTCTACATTCCAAACTTTTCTTCAAATCCAATACCAATTTTCAACTCTCAATGGGCTTCTAAAGTAGAACTTCAACTTGACATATGACTCCAATAACATTCCAAACCGAATTCTTTTTGACGTGCACTTCAATTAGAATTCTTCAATTACTTCAACAAGGAATTTGGGATACATCCAAATTCTAACAATCTCTACGTTGACACGAATTCCACTGCAATGAACAAACCTCCGAAATATTTTCCATTTGGAAAAGAAAATTCGTCAACAAGGAATGAACTGACTCTTCAATAATAATCCAAACTGATTTCTCCAACCAAATACAAAATACTCCACATCTTCCAATAAATCCAAGCACAACTCTGCAGAATTATATCAGATAAATCCAAGCACAACTCTGCAGAATTATATCAGATTCCTGAAAAATCATAATGATTTTAAAATTCACCAAACTGGACTGTAACACACCATAAAGCAGAATCAAACTCAAATGCTTTAAAAGAAGGCAACTTGCTAGATTATACACATTCTACTATGCTAAAAGCATGCTCAACAAAATCAACATCCACATACCTTTTACCACTAAGTCCATCCCAAGCAATTGAATACAATAACACATGCACACGTTCTGGTGAAAAAAGGCATTATCCATATCTCGTGAACTTCACTGAGCAGTGTTCTTCGAATCCGATCATTTATGAGTTCCTAAAGGTATTGTACCAAATTGATTATCCGTCACGGTACTAAACCTGTGCTGATTGACTCTTCGAGATTCTGCATGACCCTACAAGATGTATAATTGAGACATTTTCCCTCCCTCTAATACAACCTGGACACCCTTACAAATCTTCAAAAGTTCACCTCTACTATAGAACTTACAAGCCTTTGAATTAAGGATAGACAACGAGATTAGATTCTTCCTAAAATCTGGAACATGTCGAACCTGGCCAAGAATTTTAGCTCTCCCATCCAATAACTTCAATCTGATTGTACCAACTCTAGCAACCCAACAAGGTGTGTTATCTCCCATAACCACGACACATTTGGAAACGGTTTCATATGTAGTAAATAAGTCCTTAATATGACACATATGAAATACACACACTGAATCCGGAATTCAATCCTCCTCTGGTTTAAACTTGATATCAGAAATAGCCAAGAGATATCTCTCACTTACAATATTGTCTGCGAGGTCTGCTTCACCTAAAGTCTTTGATTGCGTCCCATATCCACTTGCAGCCAATCTTTCTTTATTGTGCAATTTAAAGCAATCTTTCTTGAAGTTCCTCTTCTTCTTGTAGAAGTTATAAATATGATTACTGAACTTAGACTTTGTTATGCCTCTTCTAGAACCACCATGAGCAACAGGTCTTCTCCATCTCTGACCTCTGAAACCAGATACTTCATCTTCTCTTTTGAAAACAAAGTATCATACACCTCATCTATGGTGAGAGTATCCCGACTATACAAGATCGTATCTTTAAATGAAGAAAATGAAACGAGCAACAAACACAATAAGATCAAGGTCAAATCTTCTTCATCATATTTTATTTCCAGAGTTTTCAAATCAGTGAGGATCTCTTTAAATACAAATAGGTGATCTTTCAATTATCCTTCTTCTGCCATTCGATAAGAATATAAACGCTGCTTGAGATGCAACTTGCTTGTTGACTTTTAGTTATGCACAATTGCTCCAATTTCGACCATAAAGTAGCTGCTGAACCCTCCTTCAAAACTTCTTGAAGAATGATATTCGATAGATGAAAATGAATGTGATAAACTGCCTTCTTATAATTCCGTAATTTCTCCTCCGTGGTCAAAATGGCGAGCATCTTGTCAATCTCTAGCAATACATCATCCAAATCATATTGTGCGAGTACTGCACGCATCTTAACCTGCCATAGCGAAAATCTAGTGATTCGATCCAAAAGCGAAATGTTATATTTCATGGAAGGCATCACGAACAAAAAATCTCGAACAAATCAAATCATGCGCTCTTGCGGAACTGCTGAACACAGCGCTTTGATACCACTTGTTATGTTAATTATGCCCATAATATTTGATACCAATTATTGGTAATTCAAGGATCACGTATCACTCGATAGCACTTGATATAAAATCAACCACGAGATTGTTGAAGTTATATAGCATAATAATGAAGTATTTGATCACAAGCAAAAGAATAAAAGAAACTATGGCAGAGAAATTATGAGATTTTATTGCACCTCTAATAATGGAGAAATATACAATTGATCTTAAAGTTCTAGTAATCTCTTTTCTCACATTATGAAATTGTATAGAAGAGCCTAATATTTATAGAAAACATATAAGGGACATCCAAATCCTTCTAATAGAGTTGTTGATGAAATAGAATGTCAAAAAATCGAGTCCAAAACGAAAAGCGAAAAGGGTGCGAAAAACCAGAATAGGTACAGGTGGCGTTGAGCGTTCTGCTCAATTTTTTTTTGTTCCAATTTATTTTCTTAATCTCAAACTCTTTTTCAAGTCTAATATCAATTTTTAACTCTCAATGAGATTCCAAAATAGAACTTCAACTTGATATATGACTTCAATAACATTCCAAACTAAATTCTTTTTGACGTGCACTTCAATTACTTCAACAAGAAATGCAGATCACACCCAAATTCTAACACTTATATTTATAGACAAGATTTTCCAATTATTATTGCATCAATCACATCCATACTATTCTGTTAAAAATAAAATTTAAATAAATAAATTTTTCTTATACCTAAGGCTTGTTTGATCCCATTTTTTACGAAAAAAAAAAATGTATTTTGCAATATTGTTATGATAGAGAATGTGTGGTTAAAAATAAGGAAATTTTTTTGAATTGCGTGTAATATTATTTTATTGAAAAATGTGTGATTGTAATATAGTCAAATCACTGTTCAAGAATGCATTTTGATGAGAAAAATAAAGTTAAAACAAGAGCCCAATAACTCAAGTTTTAATATCAAGTGGTTCATCATAATATCTCAAGTTCAAATTTCACCACATTCTTTTACAAAAATTGTACATTAGTACATGTTCAAAACATTTGATCTAAATGTACTTCCAAACATTACTTACTAGAGCATATTGAAGGGAATAAATAAATAAATTACTTATCTGTGTAACAGTTTAAATTTTTAACTCCATGTTTGGTTTAGATAAAAAAAATTAATTTTTTATTAGATTTTGATAAAAATTCAACAAATATGTGGTAAAAAGTAATGTTCTTGAAATATATGATTAAAATTAATTATCGACTTTGACTTAAATTTTTAGACCAAGGGTGAAACAATCGAATTGGTTGAGGAAAAGGAAACCCCAACGACAAAGCACTCCCACCCCCAAAAGCGGAGATTGAAGAACCACCAGATTGTCGAGAACACGTCTAAAGAAGAGGCGGGCTCCCTATAAGTTTACCACCCTGCCTACTAATGGATTGTGAGGGGTGGGGAATGGGAACCGAATGAAAACCTGAACCGCTTGATTGACTCTTTCATAGTCCATTCAATTTTTTTAGTTGGTTTCGTTGGATCAAGAGGTGTCCCTTAGATCAAATTTTACATTATACCCAATTTATCCTTCACAGGCTTCAAATGCTCAATAGTTGTATATATTGACTATAATAGTTCTCTGGAGAAATTGCCAAAATAAGCCCAAGACTTTTAAATTGCATTTATGAAAAACCAGCCAAATCCAATATAATGAAAATTCCATACTGAAAGAGCCAAATGAGAACTAACACACTGCAAAACTACCAGCAATTGAGAGGACTTTTCAGCTGAAGTTTTTCTTATGATCAAAGATTCTATATTAACTTTCCTGCATTCAATTTTCGTCTATAAATATATCCATCTTCTTCTCTTCCAAGGATAAACTATTCATTGCAGTTTATACTCACATAAATATACATATATGGAGCAGTATAATTTGATGCAGATGAAGAAGAAGCATGTTATAAATTCAATGAGCAGTTCATCGGAGGAAGAAGCTTTTGCTGAAGACTCCATGGGTCCTCTTGGAGGATTCGTTTGGCCTCCAAGAAGTTATTCATGCAGCTTTTGTAATAGAGAATTCAGGTCTGCACAAGGACTTGGTGGCCACATGAATGTCCACAGGCGGGATAGAGCAAAACTTCAACAATCTCCTGATCAGGAAAAAGAAGTTCTTCAGCTCGGAAATCATAGTCTGAATCTTCCTGATGTTAAACATCAATATGAAGCTTGCGAATATGGTAGCAAATCTAACTTTTCAGCTATGTTTTATCAAGAAAATTCATGTGATCATATTCATTTGCACGGCTCTCCTTCATCTTCTCCGCGTAAAACAACGTTGGAAGAGAATACAACAAAAGGACAACAAATATTAAAATACGATGATGAGATGATAAGCCGCAGCAATAAGAGACCCAAGAAAACTGGTGTCGCATCATTGCAAATCTTTCAGAAAACCAACTCCATGGAGGACATTGATCTTGAGCTAAGGTTAGGAGATCCTCCAGCAGTGAAGTAGATTAACATTCAAGAAGAATTATCTTCTGGTGGATCGACGGAAAATCATATATTTCGTTAATTAATAGATTTTATTTTCTGGTTTTTACTTACTGAAATTGAATTTTAGTAGACAAATCTGTAGGGTAGTTGTTAACTTAAACTTCAATTTATGAATTAGTCAGTGTTAGAAATTTCCATTATGAAATATAACTGGACTTTAATGTCAAACATAGTGCTTAATGGCAATAAAGTATCGCCAAATGTTATGTGCATGAGTATGCAAATTAATGCAAGTATTTTCGTTTTCATTTTCTGGTGAATGTTATGATGTTGATAAGCAAATTTTCAACAGCAGAAGTCCATACTTGATCGATCGGTAATGAGTTTGGTTTTACCCTTACTTCTTAATCAAATTAAAACAGAAAGTAACCGAATAATTCATAAAATATGACCTCCGATGAAAGAAATCAATGCAAGTAATACAACAACACCGAATTCAAGATTGACTTATAGCAACAAGTATGAACAAGTAATAACGACAAGCACACGATGCTCAAATTTTTCAAGTTGTTCACAGCTAAGCCCTGTTTGACTATTATTATTTGGTTAAAATGAAGTTTTGAACAATGATTTTTGAAGAATGTGTGGTTTAAAATAAGAAATGTTTTTTGATTTACGAATAGAATATTTTATTGTGTGAATATGTTGTTAAAAATGAACATATAAAAAAATTGAAATAATAATTGTCAAACCACAGCTAAATCAATACCTATCGTGCAGTTATTAATAAACTTATTTAAGTTATTGAGTCTTTCAATAATCTTTCTGCATTATACACTGTCAACGGCAAGAATTTGCGGCAAGATAAGAAAAAAAAAAAAGATGAAATCTTGTGTTGCGTGCTTGTGCGGGGTGAAAGAAGTGACAGTTTTTTGACAATTAATCACACCAATAGAACTGACAATTAATAAAGAATTTCACAACAAGGAGCCACCGTTTGTACCTAGTCTATTATTTTGTCCCATTTATTCATCATGCAAGAGCTGTTCATTTTTCTCCTAGAAACTTCCGAAAACCCATCAGATCATGCAGAATCATTCATTATGAATTCTGCAGAAAACCCACAAATATTTTCAAAAAATAGGTTTTTCACTTGTAACAAGGATTAAATTTCGTCATGCCATAAACACTAAGGGCTAGAAGTTCATACTCGATCATTTATCTTCATATTCTAGAATTCTGGCTCCTGATAAATACTTTCCTTTTCGTTGTTGATTAAAAAAAGCTCATTTGAGTTGAAAAAAAATCAGTGTCACTAACTACACATTTGTTTTCACACTTCTAGTTCTAGGTGTGCAAGATAGTAACGTAGACAACCTAAATTATAAAATTGAATATAAGGCCCTGACAGCCTATGCTATTGAAGAAAAATCTAAACAAAGTCTAAAAAATCCTAGCTACAGTAACATGTAGTCCCCAGGCGACATTTGCACCCAAAGGATCTTGCAGAATTTAAGGGGATTAATTTCTCATGGAACAACATTGTAATTTACTTGCATTCTTTATAAGGAATGGAACATGGTCATTGACTTAAAATTGCTAATACAGAGAAAATACTGTCTCCATAACTATTTATATGGGCAATTAATGATATCCAGTGGGTTTATTCCATCATAAGATGATTACTGGATACAGTTTCAAGTCTGATTTTTCTACACAGGTTGTAAGAGATCAATATGGTCTGAAACAGGGTTTTTTTTTCAGTACATAAAAACTGATACTCGGTTACTTGTATGAAGTAATATACATAATAATACTATTCCCTGCTGTATCATCTGTGCTTTTTATGAACAAGGGTTTAATGAGTAGTGTTTCATTTAAACAGAGAAAGACTGGCAATTAAGGTTCTGACAATCACCAGGACAGGATTTAAGGATGTTCAGTTCGCACATGGAGCATTGAAATGTCTCTTTATCTGTTGTTAATTGTTATCAAAGAATAATGGGTCACCTCGTATTGGTCTAGTAACAAATTGGTTTCCAACTTTCGTAAACGTCACACAATTAGGTCCAGCAACAAAACTGTTCATGTCTTTTTTCGATTTTCATGTGACCATCGTACAAACATAATGATTTCCACCATTAAGAACCAATATTCGTACACCAGAAATTGATTTTCTCGGATTGCATATCAAAAATGGAAAATATTCCCTACAGCCGCATATTGCTGAAGAGTTTTACAAGGGAGAGTTGCGACTTGGGTATTCAAGCCCACAAACAAACAGTCAATCTAAGTTTTAAGATCACAAATCTTCTTGTATGGTCGTCATGGTCTGCAGTTCAATTTTTTATGCTAATTAAGGATCCTTAGAAAAGGTAACAGCAGAGCATTAGTTAGTTGATTAACATGACTTGTCTAAAGTCTTTGTTCAAATTATATATATATACGTGACCCCTGTGCAGACTTAATGGTTTCGTCATTAAGAACCGATATTTGTCAAATACAAAGAAAATGGTTGGATGGATACTTATCACTCGAATCACAAGTCGGGACTAACAGTGCAATTACGCCAAGAATGATTGAAATTTCTGATGGAATTTGGAGAGTTCTCTATATCACCTTGGAGTTGGGAAGGTGTAGCGTGGGGGGTAGGGGTGAGGAGAACTGCACGTGTGACCTTGGATATGTAAGTCAATTGGATGATCTCATGGTAGAACTGGAAGACAGATACTAATCTTTAAAACTGTGGATTTTTCAAATCATCATTTGCTTCTAAGCTTGGTTATGTTGAAATTTGTAGTGTGGAAGTTAATTACACGTTCCTTCGCTTTCGTTGACAAAATTTATACGCTCTTTTTGTGTTAGATTTCGTGCAAGTAAACTTAGATAATTGAAAGAAATCAGTATTGTCGGTTTGGCTAATTTATAAATTGTCGAATTTTCTTTTCACCACACATTTTAGTTAATAAGTATCATCCACTTATACACCGTTTACAATTTGACCAATTTACAAATGATTTATAAATAGAAATAATAGTGGATCTCATAAAATATGTGGATAATAATGAACATTAATTATGAATGAATGATTGAAATTATTGTTTAATTTTGACTTTATTTTTAAATCAATTTATAATTTGTATCCAAATTGAAGTTAAGTTTACTAGGTTCCCTACCATGTGGATGGGCATCCTGATTGTTGCTTGGTGTACGATAGCTTTTAAAATAAAATTATTACTACAATAGCCAAATAAAATATATGGGTTCGAGTTTCACCTGTTTTTATTTATAAAAACTGTTGCCCTAAAAAATTGAAAATAGATGACTCATTTCTAACACCTTAAATTTTTAGATGAATATGAGGATTTGGACGCTTTTTCCACTTACACAAAAACAAAGATGAAAACCAACTTGATAAAACAATAAGGTATGGCGATCCACAAAAGGTGGATAATATTATTCGTAAGCTTTGATGAAGTATATGCTAAGTATGAGATTGTTCACCAAATATCTCAATACACTCTGTAGCAAAATAAAGTTTTTGAGAGGAAAAATAGAAGTTTAAGGACATGATTAACGCTATGTTTATTAGTTTTGAATTACCCCAACTTGTGGGGAGACATAATTCTAAATGCTAACTTTATTTTAAATAGAGCACCTCAAAAGAAAATTGATCGATTATAAAAAGTTATAGTATTTTCATACAAATACATAAAGGTGTTGGGGTGTCTATCAAAAGTGGTTGTTCCACCTATTAAAATGATAAGTTGGGTTCTCAAACTGTTAATTGTATCTTTATCGAATATGCAATCAATGGTATTGCATACAGATTTCTTGTACATAAATCATTGGTGAGTGACATTAGTATCAATACCATAATTGAATCCAGATATACTAAAAATAAAAGGGATACAATTGATAATACTTTAGAGAGAACATGTCATGTTACTTTTGAAAGTAGTATAAATTTGAACCAAGGAGTAAAAGAGATAAAGTTTCTAAATCATTTGGTCTAGATTTCATAATTCATATAATTAAAAATTAACCTCAATCTCTAAGAGGCTATGTATAGCTCAAAATTTTTATTCGGCGAAGAAGTCTTAAATAGAGAATTTGAATTCCTTATGAGTAATAATACTTGACAATTGGCTAATTTTACAATTAGTAAAAAATCAATTGGATGTAAATGCATGTTTAACAATAAATTAAAATCCAACTTAATGAATAAATACATGGTTAAACTTTTTGCCAAAGATTGTCGTAAAAAAGGAAGACCTGACTTCTTTGATACTTATTCTCTAATAACAATAATCACTTCTACTGTTTTAATTTCTATTGCATGTTTTATAACTTGCATATATATCAAATTAATGTTAAAACTGCATTTTTGAATGTTGAATTAAATGAGAAAGTTTATATAGAACAACTAGAGGAGACCAAGGTAAAATGACAAGAACATGAAGCTTATAAACTTGTGAAATCCTTGTATGGATTGAAGCAAACTCCTAAAAACAATTACACAAAAAGTTTGATAATGTCATGATCAAGAATCAATTCACCATGAATGAATGTGATAAATGCGTATATTCCCAAAAATTTGGAGAAACATATGTTCTAGTTTATCTATGACGTGGTTATATTAGGATTAGCATGGAAGTTATTAACAAAAAAAAATGCTCACTAATAACTTTGACATGAAAGATATGGGTGAAATTTATATGATTATGGGAATGAAAATCTCTGAGATACTTAACGTGATAACTTTATCTCAAACGCATTATAGATAAAATGATTGGAGGTTTAAGACCCTTAGAATTAAAGAAACACCAGTAATCTATTTCTCTAATACGTAGTTCTTCACAAGAATACTGAAAATGATAAAATCAATTGGAATATTCCTAGATATGTGAACGCATGATGCATCTTATGAACTGTACTCAACCAGATATAGCTTATATAGTAAGTAAGCCAAGTAGATGCACAAGTAATCTAGGTAATGAACCTTGGAATGCATTATTA